ATAACCTCATCTATCACTTCACTACACACTCTAAAAGTCTCCTCGCCAACAACTCTAACAGCAGCACCATCAGCAAACAATCCAACTTCATCAAGTGTAACTCGTCTTTTTTCCTTCAACGACAGAGTCATCGCATTAGCATCATAAGTTTCGACACCAATGATTTTAATCTTGGGACATATCCTTTTCACATAACTACCGATACCCGAGATCAGGCCACCACCACCAACACACGCAAATATGGCATCAATTTCATTTAAATTATGTTGACGAAGAATCTCCATAGCTATAGTTCCTTGACCAGCTATAACATATGGATCGTCGTATGGAGGAATGTTGGTGAGATGACGAAGATTGGTTAAACGAACACATTCTTCTTTAGCTTCATCAAAATCATTTCCAAATAGGACAACTTCAGCGCCTAAACGTTTCACATTTCGCCATTTTATTTCTGGAGTGGCACTGACATTCTCAAAATATAATAAACAAATTTAGATCATTTGTAAAATTCTGAAAATGATTGATAATTTGTGATCACTTGTTTTTTTTTTTTTTTTTTTAACATTTAGCTACAATAGGAAAACAAGCGGCCACAAATGGCAACGGTTACACGTGACTCTTAACATAAATAAAAATTTTTCGTACAGTGGCATTACGATAGTCGCGGGAAGACCGAGATGCTTTGCTGACATTGCAACTCCTTGCGCATGATTTCCTTTAATAATAACATCAAAATATTAAATTAAAAATAAATAATAAAATAATAATAAAATAATAAAAAAATGATAAAAAATAATAAAATTAATAACAATTTGAATAGATTTAATTGATTAGACAATTATGTAATCAAGCATACCAGCAGAGCAAGCAATGACTCCTCTTTTTCTTTCCTCTTCAGTCAAATGTGCAATCTTATTATATGCACCTCTGATCTTGAAAGAAAAAACTTCATGCAAATCTTCTCTTTTTAATAAAATTTTATTATCAAGTTTTGCAGAAAGATTTGTAGCTATCTGTAAGGGTGTCTCCTTAACAATCTCGTAAACTCTTGCAGTAAGCACCAATCGTAGATAATCAGGATTTGACAACTCGGTTGCGGAAGTTAAATGAGGAGAGGGCTGTAATGTCGTAGTCTCCACAAGGGATTTTCCTGTTGGGAACTGATATGAATTTGGAGAATAACCATCTTGAAGACTACTAGTTTGATCCATTATTGAAAAGATTAGATGAATAAAAATTTTTATGATAAATTAGAGTAAAAGGCTTGATCCTATTGGATAAATCCCGATAATTATCATGATTATCATGTGATACATCTTCGATATAAAATCAAGGATTCTCAAACTAAGAACCTCCTCTTTCCTTAGCTGTTTAAAGCGAATATGGTGGGTAAATTTTGCAACACCTAATGAATTTTAAAGATGATAACAAGTTAGAATGGAATCATTGAATGGATTGAATTGATATTTTTACTACTCAATAACGGATCAGGCTGACGACCATGATGCCGCTGTTGAACTGAAGAAAAAAAGAACTTTTAAAAAGTTTTCTTATCGAGGTATTGATCTCGATCAACTTTTGGATTTAAATTCAGAGCAGGTAAATTTTGTCGATTTCGGTTAACTTTATTATAACCAAATAATTAATATTCAATATAATAATTCTTAAAATATAGCTAACGGACCTTGTTCATGCTAGAGCAAGAAGAAGATTTCAACGTGGCTTAAAACGCAAACCAATGGGATTAATTAAAAAGCTACGTAAAGCAAGAAAAGAAGCACCTCAAGGTGATAAACCAGCAGTCGTTAAAACTCACTTGCGTGATATGATTATTGTACCGGAAATGATTGGTTCTGTAATTGGTGTTTATAATGGTAAAACTTTTAATCAAGTTGAAATCAAGGTAATATTTTATATAAATATTTTATATAAATGTTATTATATTTATACATGTTATGATATTATATTAATACATGTTATGATATTTATTTATTAACATATATTTTATACTATCTAATGTCTTGTTATCGCTGCATGATGAAAATTAATAGCCTGAAATGATCGGCCATTATCTCGCTGAATTTTCCATTTCTTACAAACCCGTTAAACACGGTCGTCCTGGTACAGTAAAAGATATATATTGTCATTTTTTAGAATTTATTATATACGTTTAACTTTCGAATTCTTTATATTCTTTATAATAGGTATTGGTGCCACTCATTCTTCAAGATTCATTCCATTAAAATAATCAAAATTAATAGTAATATATTTAGATTAGTTACAATGTCGAATAAATGTGTTGTTAAATGAGTGAAAATTGGTGAAAATAATATAAATACATTACAAATTCGTAATGTTAATGTAGCGGACGTGCAAATAAATTTTGCTAATAAATTAATTTTGATTATTTCGCATCGATTATATTAAGTATATGCAAATAATAAATAATTGTCGCATGCGAACCATTTAATACTAAACTATCGGTAGTTCATAATAATTCACATTTTGTGATTAATGGTTGTTAATTGGCAATAATCATACAACATAAAAAAAAACAAACCTCATTATCTGATTTATCGCGCTTTTCAAATTACTGTGTTCACGGATTTTCATACATCACACTGGGAATCAGATTCACTATTAGCCTAATAGTATATAGCTAAGTAGGCTCGGGAAGTACTTTTTTTTTTAGAGTTTTTTTCTAGAAAGCGTTACTTCAACAGCTAATCCATTCTTAAAAACTTGTAATCAAGCTGCCTTAGGTGTTTACAAGAGAGATCTGAATGATCTATAAAAGGTAGTTAGTTCTGTATAAGGCATAAGAACTATTAAGTAAAAGCGTTTAACGGTATTTAAAGATTTACTTTCTGTAATGTAAAAAAATTTTTTTTTTTAAAGCATTAAATATAAGTATTATATTGTAATTTGTTTTATTAAAGTGTAATAATCTTATTTATCTTTATTAATATTTTATTAGAAACATAAGCATGGGGATGATTTGGCAATTGCAATTTATGGAATAACTAAAAGAGACGGTCTATCGACATAGCATCCACATGATTTATCTTTCTTATCAGCACAGCAGTCGACATTTCATTTTTCCAATCTACTTAATTTCTTGAAGCACAATAACTAAATGATGATAATAAGGGAGATAAGCTATGTGGATGCTGTGTCGGTAGATTGTCTCTAACTAAAAACCCAAAAGATATCATGATAATTCCATCACTGCGACTTTTATAATTAGACCTAAATTAATTTCGTAATTAATATGTATCAACCACATGATGTATCTATCGAAATGATCCCTAAATCATAATAAAACTAATATAATTATTGCATCAACCCAATCTTCTATTTTTTTAAAGTCGATCTATTTATTTCATTATTTAATGTTATCGATACTTAATATTTTTTAAAAAATATTGTTGTTATTTAATATTTATTTAAATAAATATAATTACATAAACACAACAGTCTCGAATTAAACTCAGTTAGCCAATAATGACTTATAAAACATGATTATAATCGCACGATAGCATTGATATTGAATCAAGCGATAGATAAATATCATAAAATTTGTTCTGCCCGAACAAATGGTTGTTGAAATGTGCCGCTGCACAGCACATGTCAGCCAACCATTTGCTCTGACAAACCAAATTCATAATATTTGTTACGGCTGATGCTGAAGTTTGGCTGATGTTGAAGCTAAAAAATCTGATTGGCTAAATTTTGCAGATCACCCTAACCCTAACCAATCAGATTTTTTAGCTTCAACATCAGACTTCAGCATCAGCCGTCACAATATTTATTCATCGCTTGACCAATATCTTATAATTTTCGCCAAACTTTAGGTAATATGAAAACGCTTTTTGCTTATCGATTTCAACGCCAATAACAATAACCAACTTGATATATTCTGTTAGAATTCCTCATGTCTGCTGATTTTTGGTAATGCGTGAATTAAAATTTTCAAACCTATATTAGCCATTAATGCTTTAAAAAAAAAATTTTTACATTACAGAAAGTAAATCTTTAAATACCGTTAAATGCTTTTACTTAATAGTTCTTATGCCTTACACAGAATTAACTACCTTTTATAGATCATTCAGATCTCTCTTGTAATCACCTAAGGCAGCTTGATTATAAGTTTTTAAGAACGGATTAGCTGTTGAAGTAACGCTTTCTAGAAAAAAACTCTAAAAAAAAAAGTACTTCCCGAGCCTACTTAGCTATATACTATTAGGCTAATAGTGAAAATGCGGCATTAGTAGAAGTCGCCCAGGAATCTGATTATATCTGATTAAATTTGCCAGTCGTTAGTAAGGCCAAAGACCAATATATTCTGAAAGTTATTCGCTCATAAGTGACATATACGGCGACTTGTCATATGAGCGATTACGTTTTCATATAGGGGGTACTCTAAAACTAATATAAATAATTGTGTAACGATCGACGTTACAGTTGTACCACATTAGCCAATCAAAACGACTTTCCACCATGCTTGCCAATACGTGATTGGCTAAAAATTATTTTTAACCAATCACAGATTTGCATTTATTCTAGATTTCTGATTTCCAGTGCGATGTATAAAAATCAGCGGACACAGTAATTTGAAAAGCGCGATAATTGATTTAATTCAAACTTACAATATTTTTGAGATAAGCTAATATCGAAATTAAAAATAATTTATTCTTTATTTAGGTCAAAGTTCAATATTACCGTAAAATTAGGGTTGTTAATGGAGTACTCCAAGCTATAATAAACATATATAAACCACTCCAGTTTTAAACTGGAGTAGTTTATATGTTTTATTATAGCTTGGAGTACTCCATTAACAACCCTACGTAAAATACAATAAATTCTTAGATTAATATTATGATTAATTCACACTCTTATATAATATTGTTGGGCCAAAGGGTTAAAAACCAGAGAAACAAATCTGATATGAAAATATCAATTTAAATAAACTGAAAAAGCTATAATGGATCAAAGTTTAGAATGAATAAATAACAAATTTTTTAAGATGTTGAATTGCTAAATTATAATCAAAAAAATTGTTAAAATAACATTCGATTAAAAGTAATAATAAAAAGTAATAAAATTACAATATAATATAATAATATGTATATTAAATCGTAATATAAATGTCTCATATATAATTAAAATAAAAATTTTATGATGCTATTACATGGGTTTATTCGGAATCAGTGGGAGGAACTGAAGCTCTAACACCAAGTCTCATTCCAACTTTTACCAATGTTTCAATGCTTGCCATAGAATTTGACACTAAATCATTGTCAAATTTAATCTCTCCCTTTGGCCATAAGCATATTATGGTACTTCCACCATAGGCAAAATGACCTAATTCATCACCTTTAAAAACTTGATCACCCTCTTTTACTGTGTACTTGATTGAACCAACCAAAAGAGCACCAATGGCGATGAACACCACTTTGGATGCGCCCGGCATGGATGGGTGAATAAGAAGCGTAGATCGAACGTTCTCTGTAAATACGTTAAGTTCTTCATTGACAGCCATAGGGTTCACTTTTATGGAAAGGTTCAAAATGATTAAATTAATAACATCATTGATAATATTTAATTTCATGTATGCGATGGATGAATAAGAATTCATACCAGTAAAATAAGTGCCATTAATATATTTCGATGCTCCAACCACACCAGTAACTGGAGAATGAAATCGATGATAATCTTGAGGTGCCAAACGAAATATTGCAATGGAACCCTCGTCGAATTCCTTAGCCTAAATATGTGTACATTTATGGTCAAATCCTTGAAACATCTGCTATTAAAAAATTAAATATATACAAACTCATACCATTTCATTATCCTGAAGGAGATCGGCAACAGTAAATTGTTTTCCCTTGATCCTAATAATAATTCATGAAAAAGTAATTGTATATTTGTTAATCTTCAATATAGTTGTGTCGGACCCTCACTATAGCAGAGTAAGAACAATTTAAACTGTTTATTTATAGTATTTTTACTAAATTGTACAGAATGCTATAGCGGAGATTCACTATAACAGACTAATTATTCCAGTCTAACAGATTTACTATAGCAAAGGATATGCAAAAAAAAAAAAAATTTTTTACCAGTATTTTTTCGCTAGATCAATATTCTCATAAACGTTAAGCCTACAATCCGCAGCCGAAACAAAAACATTATCATTACCAGGATCAGCAATGGCTCTGGCGTTGGGCTTCAATTTTCTATAAAAAAAGTCATTGAAGCACTTGTATTTGCTTATGTCTGGTTCTAGTAATTCATCAGTTTTAATATGATAGTGTTTAATAAAGCCAGGGATTTTGTTGACAGAGTGTGGTGAATCAAAATATTTTCCTTGACGTTTTGATTCAGCTGCAAAAAGTTGTTTGATAGCTGATATTTCGACGACTAATCATTTAGGCATATAAAATTAATTAGAAAACTTTTTAACATATAATAATAATTTATGATAATTGGTACCTTTTTCTTCCAATTTTCCACTAAATAATAAATGCATCCCGATCCTAGCATATATTGGCATTTCCTCCCATATCTTTTC